CTATGGCTGACTAGATATATATATATATAGTGTGTATATATATATATATATATATAAAATGGAATATCTCACACACACACACCAACACGTACACACCCCACATCTTTGTTATCCATTCAACTAATGTTTTCATTTTCTTCAGATGAATACCCAGAAGTGGAAATGCTGGATCATATGATATCTCTATTTTTTTAATTATTTGAGGAACCTCCTTACTGTTTTCCAATTTATATTCCCACCAGCAGTGTATGAGGGCTCCCTTTTATCCACATCCTTGCCAACACTTGTTATTTCTTGTATTTTTTAAAAAAAACATTATTTATGTATGTATGTATGTATGTATGTATTCATTTATTTATTTTGGGGGGTGCAGCTCAAAGGGAGAGGGAGAGAGAGAGAATTTTAAGCAGGCTCCACACCCAGTGTGGAACCTGACTCAGGGCTCGATCTCACAACCCTGAGATCATGACCTGAGCCAAAATCAGGAGTCAGATACTTAACTGACGGAGCCACCCAGGCGCACCAACACCTTTGTTTCTTTTTTTAAAGAAAACTCCATGCCAGCGATGGAGCCCAATGTGAGGCTTGAACTCACAACCCTGAGATCAAGACCTGACCTGAAATCAATAGTCAGACGCCTAGCCGACTGAGCTACACAGGTGCCACCTATTTTTTGATACTAGCCATTCTGACAAGTATCACATGATATCTCATTGTGGTTTTGATTTACATTCCCCAGACGGTTAGTAATGTTGAGCATCTTTTCATGTGCCTGTTGGCTATCGACACATGTCTGCTTACTTGTTTTAAAGTGGAGTTTATTGAGGTATAATTTACATTATGCAGTATAATTCATCCTTTATAATATAGTGCTGTTAGTTTTGGCAAGCACATACAGTCATATAACCACCACCACAGTGAAGATAGAGAACATTTCTATCCTCTTCAAAATTTCTCTCATGCTCTTTGTAGTCAGTGTTTCCCTCCCCCTGTCCTCAGACCCTGACAGTCACTGATCTGTTTTCTGATCCTATACTTATGCTTTTACAGAAGATCATGTAAATGGAATCATGCCATATAGAGACTTCTGAGTCTGTCTTCTTTCGTTTAGCCCAGGGATTGGCAAACTTTTCCGTAAAGGCCCAGGTAGTCAATGTTTCAGGTTTGCAGGCCATACCATCTCTGCTGCAACTTCTCCACTTTGCTGTTACAGTCATGGACTATCCACTAATGACTGGGTGTGGCTATGTTCCAATAAAATTTGGTTTATTTAAACAGACAGCAGCCACATTTGGGTGGAAAACCATAATTCGCTGACCCCTAACTTAGCAGAATGCATTTGAGATCCATTAATGTTGTCAGGTCTATCAGTGATTTATTCTTTTTATTGCCAATTATTGTTCCATTGCATAAATACAGCACAGTTTGTTTAGTCATTCACCAGTGATAAATAAAGCCACTGTAAACATTTGCTACAGGTTTTTGTGTGAACACAGCTTTTGATTTCTCTTGAGTAATTACCTAGGAGAGGATTGCTAGGTTGAATGGTGTGTGTTTACTTTTATAAGAAACTCAGGTTTTCCAAAATGGCTGTATCATTTTGCATTTCTGCCAGCAATATAAGAGAGTTCCAATTGTGTTGTATCTTCACCTGCACTTGATATTGTCCACGTTTTTTTTTTTTTTTTGGTTAAGTTCAGCCTACTCTAAAAGACTGTGAAGAATCTTAGAAACTAAGGTAAAGATGCTTACCTGTAACCTAACTTAAACTGGAAGCTCTTGAAGGCTTTTACACATGGAAATGACATTATCTGGGTTTTATAATGATGACCCCACCTGCAGTATGCAGACCGACTTGGAGGTAGGCATGGTGAATATGTAAAGACCTGTGACTTGAAAAGTGGCAATGAAGATGAAGTGACTGGGCCTGGGACATTTTTAGGAGGCGGAACTGATAGTACTCAGTGATTGATCAGATATGGGACTTAGGAGAGTGGCCTAAGGAACTAGATGCAAAATGGCGCCTTCCCTGATGAACACTGATAGGGAAAAAGTTTCAATTTTGAGATATATGTGAGATATCCAAATGGAGGTGCCAAGTGGGTAGTTTGATGTCTGGGTTCTGGGATAGGGGAGCAAAATTAGAAGTCAGTGTGGTGTAAAGTTATATGACCATATGGAGGTAGAAGAAATTCTCTAGAGTGTCTCTAGAGAGATACCTAAGAGGAACCTAAGCGCTTAATGTTGAGGAGTAGAGGGACCTCCAGAGGAAACTAAGAGAGAGTATTTAAGAGAGGCTGGAGAGAGAGAGCTCAGCTCAGACAGTTGTCTCTCAGATGCCAAGGTGAATGACCAGAAAGTTGTGTGCTGAGGTGACAGCTAGGATGACAGATAAAACGTGCTGACAGGATTTCGCAGCAAAGTGGCCATGAGTCAGTTGTGGTGGTGGTGGTGGTGGTGATGGTGTGTATATGAAAATGAAGATTAGAATGAATTGAGGAGTTGGTTGAGTGAGTAGGAGGTGAGGCAGTAGAAAAAGCAAGGGTATACAGGACTTTCCAGAATTTTTAGGATGGTAAAAACATACGTAAGAGGCATTTTTTTTTTTTTTTTATTTTTAAGGTGAGTTGAGATAGAGTACACTGGGCGGGGAAGGAAGATACAAGGGATAAAGACGGAGAAACAGTGCATGCAGTCCGTGGAATGAGAAGCCCACAAGGTATGAGGGGTGCCCATCAGACCCAGCATACTTGCTGAGGAAGAAATTCAGTTGAGTTTAATATTCATAGTTGTGACCTGTTAGCAGAGTAGAACAGGCGCCTTTTAGTGTTACCAAGTTCTAATGACTTATATCATGATATAGTCCTTAAATTTATTTCCTGAGTATTTCTATAAAACTTACCAAGCAGAAAATGTCAGCGTTTTTTTTTTTTTTAATGTGTGAAAATGCTCTGGCAGTTTAGTCACTTGTCAGTCTTATGTCCAAGTACTACCCATCTGTCATGGCCCAGTTGAATCCTCAGATGAAAGACCCTCCCTCCCTGACCAGAACAGTCATAGCCTGGTGCTTCTTTGCTTTACTTTGGCATTTGTTTTTTCTACGTACTTTTATACATGTATATACTGCATATATATATATGTATATATATAAAACTCTTCTTTTTCTTCTTCTTCCTCCTTCTCCTCTTCCTCCTCCTCCTTCTTTGATGATAGAAGGCAAAGCCCATGACAGAAAAATGTCATGTTCCCCCAAAACCTAGCAGTTACATTTATTTAGTTATGGTCAATGTATGTAAATATGTATGTAAATGTGAACGTGGGGAAATGGTTATTAGTAGATAAGTGGAGGAGTTGTATAAAGGAGAATAAGATTTTTGTGGCTTGCATATGGATTATATAGCCTGAAAAATTATGGCACCTGATTATAATCTCTTGTTTTTATGAGACTTAGTAAAGTGTGTTTTAAAAGTTCCCATTTACATGTCACTAAATGATTAAATTATTTAATAAGTAATAGCAACAACTCTGTGGTGGTACTTTACAGTTGACCAACTACTCTCCTATCATTCATCCATCAGACTGAGGACGACTCAGAGATGTAGAGCTAGAGACATCACAGGGGGTTATCCCATTCTACAAAGGAAGAAACCAAAGCCCAGGGAGATAATGTGTCAAAAGTCACATACTGGTAAACAAAAGAGTGCTGAGACCAAAGCCAGGACCCTCTGATGCGGGTTTCTTTCAGTGTCCTCTGTGGCTTCTAGATTTATTTTTATAGAAATCCAATTGGCCTGACAATAATTATATTCAATTTTAAGGAACAACTTGGTTTATTTTATTTAAATGAATAAAAATATCACTTATCAGAACAATATTATGCTTGGAGTTAAAATCACCTTTTCTTGGACAGGCTTTGGCCTTGTGGTTCAGAGCTTCCTATGTGGCGCCTACAGCAGAATGGGAAAAACACTGCCGGCGTTACACTGATGCTAGGATTTAGAGGAAGAAAAATCGAAGTTACATACCTGTGGATAACTGTTAGAGCAACTCTAGCCAGCACTGTTCACTATAGTGATTAAACCTACTATTAGCATTTTACTTATTATTTTTCTGGGCTTTTGATTCTAATTTCTGGCAACTTTTTTTTTTTAAAGACCATCTTTTTTTATTAAGGACAATAGCTTACCTTCTAATGAAAGAAAAACTAGAAACAGGGAAGGTCATTATCCTTTAGTGGGGGCTAGTGCTGGCTTTATTTTATTGTTAAAGCTTTCAAAAATTGAAATAGTGTATATTAAATATATAAAATCTATAATTTTATATTAAAACATTTAATGAGGAAGCCTTTGACTAAAATCCTTTAAAAAAATTATTTCCGTTGGCCATAGCTGATCATTTAAACAGGACAATAACTTCCGTTAAGCGGATTCTTCTTTGATTATACTGACCTAAACTCATAGACCTCCAAGCTCTAGAATCTATTTTTGCCAGGGAATTAAGGAGTGAAGAACATATCCTTTTAAGAAATTGCAGAAAGGCATAAAGTGCTTTTTTCCTCCTGCTTTCAACACTTTTAAATGTTATCTGAATGAATTACTTGCTGTGGGGTAAAACATTTCCTTCTGTTCTCCTATAAATTGTGTTTGACTAGGTATTTGGGAATTGCTGTACAGTGTGGGAAATAGTTGAACGTGGCTGTTTATGAACCCAAAACAAGCAGTTGAGATATTGAATCTGAAACCAGGTGTTCCCTGCCTAAATAGTTGTGGCTTATTAAAACAAAACAAAACAAAATACGCCCCCCCCCAACCTCCTGAATTGTAAGGACTTTTCTTTTCTACAGGGCAATTAGTCCTGTGGCACCATGTGGACTGTGGACTACGGCCTAGCTTTGGTATTGCTTGTCTCCATTACACATCTTTTAGTACTCCGGGAGGTGTCTTGCATTGGCATTCCCCATGAACAATTAAAAGCCGACTTTGGACTCTTTCTCACACCAGGTGAACCTGGCCTATGTCGAAGCAGCTGAGTGCGTCTCAGAACCTGTTAACAAGGAGCCTCCTTCCAGAGAAGCTCAGCTGCTGGCTTTGCAGAACGTGTCTGAATTCGATATCCTGGTCATTGGAGGAGGGGCAACAGGGTGCGGCTGTGCACTGGATGCCGTCACCAGAGGTGAGTGTCCACGTGGGTGGAGGTTTTCCGAGGGCGGTTTCGGCTCCGCCCACCCTGGCCCCCAGTCAAACAGGCGGCGTGCCCTGTAGGCTAGCAAAGTCACGTTTCTGCTGCTTTGCTGGGCTTTCCAATCGTGGTGAAGCACCTTCATAGTTTCTCAATTCGGGGCACTCGCACAATTTTAAAATTAAACATAGCTGGTATTTTACACGTAAAGGAATTTCTTTAAAAAGAAAACTTTAAGTTCCTATGAGTTCATGAATTTGCTGCTCTTGCTTATTTCTAATCTCCTAAAGTCAATACCTTTTAATGAAATAAAAAATATTTGTATATGGTCTGAAATCACATCGGTGTCAGTGAAGGGTAGAAAAGACTTATTAAAATAAGTTAATCTATTTAAAAAATTCTTTTTGTTCCTATATCTCTTAAAAGCGTTTCTCCCAGTGAAATATGGACTTCAGTTTGGGAGACTGGGGTTTATGCGAATTTATGATGGAAAAGACTTGTTGTTAACCTGTAGTTCTGTCTCAGGCACCCAATTGGTCAGCATTAGGAAAGGCATGATGAGAAGCTCTTTAAAATCGGAAACATGACATGTAAACAAAGAAATTTTAGTATGGAACACTGATGCTCTTCCACGTGATATATTTGATAAAATAGTTTGATTTTTGCCTGTGGTTATTACTGTGGAGTTTGGGGTGAAGGAAATCTGGGTGCATATCCTGGCTCAGTGGCTTTATTAGATGTGTTTATAGTTGTGAACACACCCACATGCACTCACGTGGGCAAATTCCTTAATTTCTGTAGGGTTCCTCGTCTTTCCAATAGGAAAAAAATACCTTCTTTGAATGATTGTTGTGAGGATTAATCGTAAAGACTGCTTAAAACAGTGCTTGTCACACAAAATAGAAGCTCGGTAAGATATAGATAGTATTTATAGCTGCCATTTTTATTTTTATTATTTTTATTTTTAATTTTGAGTAGGCTCCACATCCAGCATGGAGCTTGAACTCATGCCGCTGAAATTAAGAGTCACATACTATACCACCGAGCCAGCCAGGCGCCCCTCTAACTGCCATTATTAACATGAAGGCAAAAGACTTTTATTTTTTTAATTATTATTAAGATTTTATTTCTTTATTTTAGAGAGAGAGCACTGATGTGCGTGAGAGCCTGGTAGGGGGAGGTGGGTGGGGAGGGGAAGGGACACAGTGTGTGGAGCCCACATGGGGCTCCATCTCATGACCCTGAGATCACGACCCTGAGATCAGGACCTGAGACCATGACCTAAACCGAAAACAAGAATCGGATGCTTAACCAGCTGAGCCACCCAGGCACCCCTAAGGCAAAGACTTTAAGAACCAGCGGTCCTGGAGAAATAATCTTTGTGGTATCCTTAGATGTATCTAATCGGGCTGGGCACTGCTGCATGGAATTTTGACTCTGGATTATTTTAGTTACTGTATAAGGTTCAATATTTATTGCAGTATCATACTCAATGGTAATAATTTATTCCCTGGAATAATTCTTCTCATATGAAGTTACTGCCACATCCACCCTAGACTTACATTTAGTTGCCTTACATACCTGGTAGAATTTACTCATAAAAAATGAATAAATTTGGCAAGATTTAGGCACATGCGCCACGAACAGGAAAGTGCCCTAGATTTACTATGAAAGCATAGGACCTGCACTGAAGTTTTGATCCATGGAGACTTCACAGCTTAGGTCCTTCTTGTCACTTCTAAATAATGGTAAATTCAAATATAGGTCTTGGAATTTATTGTGTTGTCAGGCAGGCCCCAATTTTCACAGAACTCCCTGTTTCCATCCATGGTTCATAATTTGTGCCACATTATTCTCAGACATATTAAATAAACCAGCTGGAAAGAATGGTTGCAGTTATCTCAAGGTATTAGAACTCACCTCTCTCCCCTGGAGGCCTAAGGAGGAGAGTGGAAAGGGAGGGCATGTTTGTAAGGAAGGAAGGGAGGGAGGGAGGTCTTGTTTGGGGCTACCCCTCCCAGGAGTTAGAATTGATCAGGTGGCAATTTTCTGTCCTAGCGGATCATTTCCCCGGTAGGATTCAGAAAAATACATTTTTTTGGTGTTTCCAGTTATGTTCATGTTATGTATTGAAATACAGAGCAATTTTTAAAAATTATAGTTCCACAAATATTCACAGACTGCCTGTTGGATGCATGGCAGTATGCAGGATACTAATGAGAATACAAACTGGGTTGACAGCCAACACCTTTAAGGTGCTCACAGTTCTGCTTGTCTAACTCAGTTACATCATGGAGAATATGTGCCTTTCAAAAGGTGTATGGACATTCTGGATCTATAGAGCTGAGGGTCATTATATTTGCAGAAGATGGTCAGGAGAAAGAAAGCTGCTATTTTGCATAGGTAGAATTTTAATAGGCAAACATTGCTTAGTGAAAGTGTTGCAATATGAGGGAACACGTGGGAGGAAAAACATGGAGTCAGTGTGTGAGGGAGAGAGCACGGTTCCCTTTGGAGCATCGAGCTGTGTAGAGGGGGTATGAGAGAAGGCGAGGAGGTGGGACTGGGCCTGGTATGCCAGAAGAAGGCCTTTGGACTTTCCTGAATAGGCCACTTTGAGACCCTGAAGAGCATTTGTGGTGATGAGGAATGGATAGGCTGTAAGGAAGGAGCTGGGCTGCTCATAAGCTTTTAAGAGATCTAGAGACAGACAAAACAGCAAGGAGGTAACTTGATGGTGTAATAGGATATAAAGAGGGGAGGCAACATGTGCAATTGCTTTCTTCCTTCCTGCATGCCTCCTTCCTTCCTTCCTTCCTTCCTTCCTTCCTTCCTTTTTCTTTCTTTCTTTCTCCCTCCCCTCCCCTTCCCTTCCCTTCCCTTCCCTTCTTTTGAGAGGAACAATCTGAATATTTCTGGGGACTCAGGAAAAAAACCTGTACAGGAGGAGAACCTTAATATGCAAGTAATAGAAGGCAACATGTGGAACAAGGATGTCAAAGATGTGTCTTAGGTTTGGCAGGGGGATAAGAGACATCTCTCGGAGACAGAAACAAAGGGTAAAGACTCTAAGATATAAAAAAAGGAGCTTGTGTGACCACGAAGAACTATTTTTATTCACACAAAACCAAGGAGATGTTCTACTTATGGCTAGGAGTAGGGGACTTCCATGTAGAAAAGATTTAGAACTACCGAACGGAGAATGTGATAGGGAATAAGGGGTCACTTTGCTGTGGTTAGAAAATGTAAATTTATTTTCTATGCAGGATGTGTGTGTATGTGTGTCTTGTATTGCTTAGAGCAGAGGCAGAGAAAATACACAGTAGGATAGAACGCGGAATGGAGAACTGACTGGGTATCAGTGATAGAAGGAGATGAGAAAAGATTCTATGAAGGCAGAGGGTATTGTTTAAATGGAGACCTACAACTGGTAGGGGGGGTTGAGGGGTGTTGGAGAGCCAGCTTCCTTCAAAGAGTTAGGGTAGGTTGAGGGACTGAGGGTAATGATAATGATGCAACCCCTGTTCAGTGTCTTTTCTTCCTTTCAAAAAGTCTCGCTTTCTAGATTTATATCTTTTTCAAAGCCTAGACAAGATCATACTATAGTCATTACTTTGTAGTGTGTTACTTTCAAATAACGGTATATTTAATCATGTCTATGCTATTCATTCTTTTTAATGGCTGAAGAATTCATCCCAAGGATGTTCTTGTTAATGATTCTTTAGGTTTCAAGTTTTTTGTTTGTTTGTTTGTTTTTCCTATTTAAAACAAGACTGTTTGTGAGTCAAGTACTGATCCAGCTCTGAGAATAAACAGATTAGTAAGATGTGGTTTTTGTCCTCCAGGGGCTTATAGTTTGTTAGTCTTTGCTGAACAAGTGCATTTTTTCTTTGGGCAGTGAAGGACATTCGGTAGTGATGAGGACACGAACTGGTGCATGAGCTGATGACCGCAGTCACGTGAGGGGAGTGATGGAGACGGTGGTGATGATGATGACTTTGGGAAGATAAGAGGTTCCAGAGTCTGGCTGTTGACCACATTTTTAAATTTTTGTAGTTAGTAGCGATTGACTGAATGTCTTATATATGGAGCTTTATATCTGTGGAATATCCCTTATAAAAGGGATGGATAAACCTTAGTTTGTATTTCTTTTATTATGCTGGTAGCCCTTGGGGGGGTAGGATTTATAATTAAAATGTATAGAGATGCTGAAGTTAATCTGTATTTATCCTTTTACTACAATTTCTGATCATATCAGTAGCCCTCTGAAGTGTGAAATAATCATGGGCATTTGGTTAATGAATTGTGCATTGTTGCTGTTCATTCATGGAATTTGCTCTTTTATTATATTTGATGCTTCACTTAACAACAAATTTTGCTTTCTCTGCGTTTGATATGTTTTTACCAAATTATTCCTGATTGTTTCCATTAATCTTTAGTCACATTTGACAAAAATAAATTACTGTGATCTTTTAAAGTTACCAGTAATAATTAGATTTTTCAGGACATCAAAGTTTTGGGGGAACCACTAGATGTTAAAGGGCTTGTATAGAAATGTTTGCACAAGCTTTTTGATGAAATACTATGCCCAAATGCAATTTTGGTAATGGATAAACAAAGACTGTAGAAGGCAGAGAAAAAGTCATGAAGTCTTCCTAATGAACATTTATTTGCATTCTTACCCTCTGCCTTTTCTTGGGAATCAATTTTCATTTGTTTCATCTGGGAATATGATTTTATAAACATAATATGCAAAATTCTCATCACGTTCTTCTGCAGGTTTCCAGAATCAATAGAAATCGCTTCTCTGTTTAACACTGGGTCCAGTCTCCGGGCAGGAGCCCAGTCTTGAAGTGCAGCTGGAGGCACTCTGCCCCCAGGGAGAGCTGAAATGAGGAGAATCTGATAAATATAATCACCCCCACAGGGTTCTTCAAGGTGTTTTTTTTTTTTCAGGTTTTTTTGTTCTTTTATGTATCGGGGATCACCTAGGA